AAGAATCTGAAGATATGAAAATTGGAATTGAGCAGTTAGAGGAAATGACAGAAACTATCCAACAAAATGTCAAGTTGTTGGTGAAAATCTTTAATTCTCATTCCAAATATACCAAAGAATTGAATGACAGAATTGTTGATATTACTTCACAATTTGAGTCATTAGATACCAAACAGGAAATGCCAATTGATACAATCTCAAAAATACAAACAGGTACACAGCCAGGAAGCAGCAGTGGACCCAGCAATATCAAACGAGATATAGCAAGTCCCCGGAAGGTGACTATAAAAAATAATGATGAACATACAAGAGTTATAAGAATCAAAACTGATGAAGATGATGATACCCCTTTATCATCAAAAGAAGAAGAATATAGATCATTTGCCAAGATTGTTTATGAATTGGAAGAAAATGAATCTTATTTTATTGTATCAGGAGATCATGTTTATCCCAGATTAATAATTACCAAAGAAGCAGACCTTTTCATGGTCAAGAGGGCAGCAGATTATGGATTTCTGGATTTGATCTATCCAGGAAAAGATTTAAAAGAAATTGAAAAATTTGATGATATATTCAGGGCAGAAGTTTCAAAATTTGCCCAAGGAAGATTTATTTATATCAAATTTTATTCAATAAATCCTGAAGTTGATGGAAGGATATACTATCCTGCTGAACATATTATTACCATTGGATATGTTGGCCGAGATTTCCAGATTGAACTTGGCCGAAATAATAAATCATTGCCTAAAATCAATAAATCATGGATAAAATCTCGAAGAGTTTTGGGGATGAAAGTTCTTTACAATATTGCAAAGAACTTATATGATAAAAAATTCAGATGCTTGTGCCAATATGAAGGATGGACGCCCCTTACAAATAATGGAAAAGAAAAATCTACCATTTTGAAAGAATATATCCAGAAATTTGATACTCATCAAATTAATGGAAGTCCAACAACAATTCAAGAATCATGCAGATTAAGGGAGTGCCCCACATGTAGACAAAATTGAAAGATTGATGGATGGAAAAGGACCTACCACTACCAAAACATCTAGCCAGCTGCATATGAAACCAAAGATGGAAAAGCAATAATAGAAAAGCATCTAGCCAGCTGCATATGGAGCCAAAGATGAAAAGGCAATAATAGAGGAAAAGATGCTCCTTGAATGAAAAGACAAAGAATGCATGTGAAAATGTAGACCCCAGGAGGAAAAGAATAGAGAGGCATGTGAGCCTTTTTTCAAAATTCTGATGTATGCAATGATGTAATAGATCAATAATAGTGAGTTTGAGTCATGTATAAATAGAGGTCTTTGGGAAAGAATGGATCATCTCGAATTAAAAACCATTCTCTTTCCTTAAGCTTTTTTCAAAACCAGTTTTTCTGGAAAACCCTTGTATACAATAGAAACCTTGTATAAATCATTATAGAAATAAAATTTCAATCTTTTGATATCAGAAAAATATGAGTTTCTAAACCTCCTATCTCATAGATTCTTGATAGATTGAAGAAGATAATTTCTTTCTTACTTTAACAAAGAGAGAATTTTCTTTACTTAAGATCTTTATTCTTAATTCTAAGAAAAGATACAATGAGGGCAAGAAGCTGAAATAGCAGAATTCCCATTGAGGCAAGAGGCCGTTTGAAGGAGCAGTTTGCAGATTCAGAGCCTGAAGGTCACTCGGTTCTAAGAATACAGATTTAAGATCAAAAGTAAGGTAAAATCATTGTCTTTGTTAAATTTAGAAAGAATTCTTCTAATATCTTGAAAGAATCGTAGGGATTATTACTTTTCATGTTTGCAAAAAACTTATCTAACATGTTATTATTATTCATAAAGCTTGCAAAGAATTATCTGAATAATGCCAGGTTATACAATTAAAGGATTAGATAATCTGTTAGAAAAACTAATGAAAAAAATAAGAAATATTTTTGCTCAACTAGAGATTATGGATATTTCATCTAAGGAATATGATAATCTTAGTAAATTACATGACAATTATATTACAGATTATTCTAATTTATTAGATCAAAGGATGAAATTATATATTAAAACTCGAAATGAGAGAAATAGAAGAATTTTAGAACTATACCAATAAAATAAGGATATCTTGTGCAAAATATGACAAATCCTTTCATTAAGGATATTATAGACATTTTACAAAAAATAAATAGTAGCAGGCCATTTATAAAAATCTCCCATTCTCAACTAAGGCCGCTCGCCACCGTCCGCCCGCCTCCGCCCAATGCCCATCCTTGTACGGCCTTTCCTTTTGCTCTCACTTCTCCTCATATTCTCCTCCTCTTTTTCTCAATCTCTCCCCTTCTCCAACTACCATACCATCGTCTCCCTATCCCACTCCCTCTCCTTGCGCGTTGCCACTCTCCGTGAGTCCCGTGGCGATCACGATGGTGCGGTCCGGGCCAGATCCATGGCCCGTAATCTCGAGCGAGGGCTGGGCCTGGGGTTCTACAGACTCGTTTGGAACATGGGCTGGGACTACTCAAAGAATTACGCATGGAGGAATTTGGTGTCGTTTGAAACTCTGGGCACCTTGTCGTCCGACACGAACGAGTTGTTGGGTGCTCTAGGCGAATTGACCCGGGTCAATTCGGACGCGGAGAGGGTAGCTTGGTTTGGACGAAATTACAATAAGCTCCTTAGACTTTCCAAGTCGCTCTTTGGTAGACTACTCGAAGTTTTTCGTCAGCCCGTAAGTGCTCTCTCTCTCTCTCTCTCTAAAAAATAATTTTTAATTATTGACAATTTGACATTTGTACATTTGTACATTTGTAGGTTTTATGCAATTGGACATATATAGTTATATTACTTGTACTTATTTGGCAACGTTTAATTGAATGTGTTGAAATAAGGGGGAACAAAGGTGGCATTTTCAAGTTGTGCATTTAGTTCAAGAATGAATCTAGTTGTAACAATATAATTGTTGACAATATGTAAATCATTGATTTCAAAAACTGTTTTGAGATGATTGGCTAAATGTTGCCAACACTTAGTAAAATCAAGTTTGTCAATTTAATTTGTACAAATAGCTTAGTTCAAGTAGTCGTGCTGGTTTGATACTTGGTAATAGCCTTTGGCCTGTTTTCCCGACTTATTCGGAATGGTCTATGTTTCACTATAATCCAGACCTCTTTCGTCGTTGAATTGATTTTAGATTTATACAAGAATAGTTTCTATTCTGTTGTTTCGAGTTTAGAAAAATGCTATGCTCTTGTAATCTGATTTGACGAGAATGGCAGGGTCCGTTGAGGGAAGTGGTGGAGACACTGCAGAAAGAAATTGTGGAGGGTGACTTGGTAAGGGACTGCCTTGAGTTGGGTGGTAATGACCTCAATGATTTGGTCCGTGTGTTCAAGGACGTCCTTTTACAGTATACTTCTGCTTCTACCAGGAACACTGATTTGTGAGTAAGATTGGTAGGAAATTCAGAAGAGAGTAATTTATTCTTGGATCACAATGTTCTTATAGTTTATAGTCATGTTACTGGCCATATGGAGAAGTTAAAAGTTTGTCTTAACAAAGGTTGAATGTAGTTGATGATCGATTAATCATATAATCTTGTATTAAGCCTCTGTTTAATCAACAATTACTTTTAATCACATTTCTAATGAGGTCCACAACTTTTTAACTACACATTTCATCAACTTTTATCAAGATCTACTAAAAATTTAATTTTCATTCTCACCAAACAGTGGCTAAGTTCTCATTTGTGTCATAATATTACTATATTCATGGATAATCGTGGTATAAAATGTGGGAAAATTACAATCACGGTACCAATTCTTTCATTTAATTCCAGATTTGATCTAAATCTTTTATTTGTGCCATTCACGGTATTGAATCTTTCAAAAAAATTTGCTTGAAATCCAAATGAATGATAACTGTTAATTTGATCGTTAGTTGACTAGATAATTGACTTTGACAATAATTTTGAATAATTTTAAAAAGTTAAAATGGTAAGTTTACAGTTTTACAATAAAATAACTAAAATCAAATAATTAAAATAAAAAACTAAATAACTACTTCTCCATCACCCTACACATACCCACCCCAAAACCACCACTACCACTATCAGCCGGCTCCACCGCACCCACCCAATGCCCGCGCCACCTTTGACGCCTTCACCTCCATCTCACCACAACACTTTTAACACAAATCCACAACCTAAATGTCCACAAGATAATGTTGTTTGGCATAAAAATGCAATTTGGGGATAGAAAATATACAAGGTGAACAAGCTATACGGTAAACTTTCATGCCACTGCCACAACCACCATATGATTGCCACCTCTGCCACTGCTTTTCCTCACCACCATCACCACTTTCCTTAGTGGCGGTTGATCAAGTGGATGGTGGCGCCTATGCAGCCTACATGGCAGTGGCGATAGATCACCTGGGTGGTGGTAGTGACGACTTTGGGGCAAGGAAAAATGTATTGGAATGGAGAAGAAAGGGCTGGGTTTGGGTTTGGGTTTTTTTTTTTTAAATCTTTTTTTGTTGTTTGTTGTGTATTGTTTATGTTAAATTTGACTATATTCTTATCAAAGATATTAATGCAAGACGAATTTACCTACTTTCAAGGTGTCTTGCAATTTATAATAACACGGGGGAGGGGGATTGTCATAGTGCAAATCATTTTTACATTTTGCTCATGTTATTTATTCACTTATTCATCATTTCTATTTTAAATCAAAATACTATAAATTCTTTTCAAATGGAGACCAAATAATTCATGGATGGAAAAAGAAATTTTATTTTGACCAAAGGAATCTAAGCATAAATAATTGCTTTATATTTTTGTATAATGGAAATTTGAGATGCTGCCTAACTTCTTCCCTTATGTCTCCTTGATGCTCCATCAATTTATATAAATTATTGTGAACTGTATGATGCTTCTTTGTATAAAGATTCTTATCTTATAATCTTGGTCAATGATTTGTGTTGAGCACTGTTCTTTTACAAGTATGATCATGTTGAGCTTGATTTTTGTTTGCGTGCTTCGAAGTGAGGAAAAATAATATTTTGATTTACTTTTGTACATATTTTTATATGATAGATAAATAAGTTGGTTTAAGTTTTCTCAAGGAATTTTTTGGTGGAATTCATTATTAGAGATGTGATTTGCTAATTAGTGAAAGAATGAAAATAAAAATACAATGAATAATTGATCAAACAGTTGACCTGTACTCAACTAACAGAGAAACTAACGGAAACCGTCCATTTGGACTTCAAGAGAGAATTTTTAAAATTTTTGGTACCATGGGTGGCAAAATGAAATGTTTTGATCAAGTTTGCTATTAAATGAAAGATTTGATACTGTGGCTGTAATTTTTCCATGAAATAATGAAGAATTGAACCCAACTTCATCTGTCGTGTTGTTTTGGAAACTAGTCAAAATTGAACGTACATTGCACGTTATTCTGAAACAATTTATAAGTGCCGTAAAAATATAATATTTGGTACCAATGTTTTTAGAGGATTTGTGGAGTCTCAAACAAACTAAAGAAACTAAATTAAGGATAGAAATTTAAGAAAAAAATTGTACTCGCAAAACTCTACTTCTATGATAAAATACTACAAATAAGCAATATTTTTATACTGCGTTTAATACATAGGAATTAATTTTAGTACATGATCCTAACACCTATTAAAATTCCTAAGAATAAAAATAAATATATCTTTAAAAACTCTAGATTCATATGAATCAAAATTCATCAAGTTACTATTCATTGAGTCTAGATTAATATGAATTTTAATTAATTGAGAATTAACAAAATTCATACTGGGCAAGGATTTTATATTATTTATTATATGTTGAAAATGAAAACTAAAGTATTACAGAAATAATAGAATTATAATAAGGTTAAAATTGTACAAAAAATGAATCTCACATAAGCCCAGTTTGGCCCCCCATTAAATTACACTTCATTTTTCTTTTTTTTTTATTTTTAACCACACAATCTTCCATAAAATAATATTACACATAAATATGAAGGATGATCATGGTATATCTTAGTTAAATTAAACGACGACAAATATGAAGAATGATCTATAAGTTAATGATTCTTAGATAACAGATAATGAAGTAGAAAAATATGATTTTAATTAACTTTAAATAAATATCACAGCGTAGTTGCCAATAGTGCAAAATTGAAAAAATGAAAATTGAATTGAAGAGATTTGGTATATGGTTTAGGTTCGTAGATCACCCGCCCAAACAATTTGAACAAAAAATTCCTGTTTTAGCTAACGGACCCTTTTTCTTCTATGTTCCCTTCTCTTTCCTTTTAGGAACAATTTCGGAAATGGTCCTCAATCTATTGTTCAAGTAGATTTATGGTCCGTAATTAGTTTTTAATTTTAGTTGCATAAACAATGCTCAACAAGGACTAAAATATGTTTGACTTTGAACGTATTCGCAGCATTAGTCCGAGTTTTAAAATAAAATCTCTTTCACAAAGTTATCTATTTGATATCGATTAAAATTCAAATTTCATTTTTAGTCAAAGTTAATAATCAATTTCAACCATATATTTTATGGATCTCACAACTTTTAAACCATACATGCCATCAACTTTTGTTAAAATCTATTAAAAATCTAATTTTAATCCCGATCAAGCAGAGGTTAAATATGTGAAGGTCATGGGATGATTTAATGCGAATATAAACAGCTTTGGTAATTGATACCTAATTGTGCAATTATTACCCGAGTTGAAGATCAAATTATGTCTTTTTCAAGAATGAGGATCAATTTACTAGTACTCCACTAAATTGGGAACCAGTGGTGCAAATTTCTCTTCTTTCTCTGTCTTTATTTTTCGACAGCATAGTTTCCGAACCAAAAATAACTCGACCGTTGAGCCCGAACCTAATTTCGAAAACCTTTATGTTCCCCTAACACAATCCTCCACCCATAAACCTTTTTTGCTCTTGAAATTTATCTGTCATTTTCTGCAGATTTTGTGTTTCTTAAGACATGGTGTCCAAAACTGTGAAGAGAACGCCCACAAAATCCATCAAGAACAGGAGAAACATCAACCAGCAGTGCCGCCGTGGCCGGAAGAAGTCTCCGATCAAGAATGTTTCCGCCACCGCGTCCGCGGTGGTTGCTTCCATCAACAAGTCCATTTATACTTGCCAACGCCGCCTTATCAAGATTTTCACAAAATTAGCTCGCATTGCCACCCCAAAGAAGACCCCACATAAGAAAGGGTACCAAATCCTTCAAAAAGTCCCTGCCGACCCACCAAATTCTACCCGCAGATCACTGTTTAATGATAAGATTCCTCTACCTCTATTGCTTTCGCCCAAGAAGAATACTATTTTTCTCGACTTAGATGAAACCTTGGTGCATTCCAAGCCAAACCCACCTCCGGAGAATTATGATTTCATTGTTAGGCCAGTGCTTGATGGAGAAAAGGTCGAATTCTATGTGTTGAAGAGGCCATTTGTAGATGAATTTTTGGATTTTTTGAGCCAGAGATTTGAGATTGTGGTGTTCACTGCTGGGATTGAGGAGTACGCCTCGCTCGTGCTCGATAGGTTGGACTGGAGATCCCGGATATCTCATCGACTATACCGAGATTCGTGCAAGGAAGTTGACGGGAAATTCGTGAAGGATTTGTCTGAGATCGGGAGGGATCTCGGGAGGGTGGCCATCGTTGATGACAACCCGAATTCATACATGTTTCAGACCGAAAACGCAATTCCAATTCGACCCTTTGTCGATGATCTAGGAGACGGGGAATTGAAGAAGTTGATTAAATTCTTTGAAGGATGTGATTCAATTGAGGACATGAGGGATGTTGTGAAGGTTTATCTTGCTGATCAAGAAGGGGGTAAGGTGGACGTCTAGTACCAGTTATTTATATATTTTTTCTTCATTTTGCTGTAGTTCTCTTTTCTAACCAGCCTGTGTACAATTTTGAACATACTGTGTTCAATTTGAAATCAGAAAGGAAACTGGGAATATCAATTACACAAAGTTTGTCAAAATCCAGTTGTTCAAAACTGTTTTTAGTACCTTTATTATAATTTTCGGATTTCTCGACATTCTTCAAATTACAATTGAGAGAATCATCCAAGCATGTTTGGTACATAATACTAAATACTCAACAATGCAAAAATGGGATTTGGTCAAAGTAATATGGCTAGTTCAGTATTTTAAACTTTCTATTTCTTAACGTCCAATACCATTGATATTCCTCTGTTACCAACCGCGAAGGGGAACTAGGGTACAAATCCACGTCAAGTGCGTGTTTGCATAGGTTAAAGCCCCTTGAACAACCCCCTGGTTGTCCGGGGGGTTATGTGAGCATAACCCATTTGCATATATATGGTACTGAATGGCACTAGACAGTACAATTAAAAAGAATTTAGCTTCTTTATTCTTTTTCTTTCACAGTCGTTTGATCCTCTGTAGTATTACAACACCACCCATAAAGACAAAGCAAAAACTTTTGTGAAATACACAACACTGTGTAATAAAAGACGATGCATAAACCAGTGATTTTTGAGTCCCATCTTGTTTAAGGTGCTAAAAATCTTCATATCCCTAAAACTCATAAGCTACTCTTATACCATAATCAATCACTTCAGATTAACAAGAAAATCATGTATTAACTATCACCAGAACATACAAGCTAATCCAAAGGCAGTCTTCCCAATTGAAAGTCCCCTCGTGATCTTGTTCGTGAAGGACAGCTCCATTTTTTTCCCCAATTGAGCAGATGCGATCACATTAGCTATTTATAGTATTATCTTTTGTTTGTTAGTTTTAAACATGAAAAAAAGAAGAACGAATAGACAGATGGACAAAAAAAAAATAAAAAAGCCTTTTCCTACACAACTAGAATAGGCTCCCCACCCCCCCACGCACAATTACATCCTACAAAAACAAAACGAGACCTGTTTATAATTTCATTTTTCATGTCTTTTGGAATCAATCAAAAAGAGTAAACAATCTATCTGGTGCTCGAGTTCCCAAGAGTGAGCTCAAGATCATCAGGAACACATTCGTCGTGGATTATCTCTCCTTCCCATGGTTTCACTAGTCCCTTTGTGTTACTGCCAAATGCAAACTCGGCCGCAATTGCATCTGACATGGGAACATCAGCAGTTTGGTCAACACCTGCTGGAACAGCAGGAGAGCATGTCCCACTTTGCCCTGGGGTCCACTTACGCGACCCTCCATTCGAAAATGGCTCCCTAAGGCCAAATGGATTTGCTGAGACCAGGCTGAATGTAGGGGAAGAAGGTCCATCATTGGGAGTCTGCACACCAGAAAGCCATCCAGAATCAGGCGGAGTTTGACGACCCGGACTTGGTGGAGTAGAAGACAATAGGAAGGGATAGTGTTGGCCTCCCCAGGCTGAATCAACTGTCGGATCATCCCAGTTGGCCTTCATTCTAGGCGTACGAGCAGTAGGCGAGCTCAATGGTGGGGTTACAGGAGCGCTAATCGAACCTCCAGGGATGCATATGTGCCGTAGCTTGAATGGAGGGGGTGAAGAGCCAGAAGACAAATTTTTAAGCCATGGGACAAGGGAATTAGGATCAGCAGTATTAATGATATTAGTAGCATACTGTGATGAGACTGGGCTCGGAAAGGAAGATGAAGTGGGGCTTGGATGGAAAGATGCTCCTGGGCTTGGTTGGTATGATGAGCAAGGGCTTACTGTTGCTGAAGCAACCATGGTATTCGTATGTTCCACGGGCCTGCATCCCTGCGAAAGATGGTACACAATGTTAACAGCTAGAAGAAGAACATTAAACACGTCCAATGGCTTTGTAGACATGAGAAATATGTAAACCATGTCATAGCTATTGTAAGATCAACCATTTCTAAATGAAAACAGCAATAATCTACCATCCATCGTCAAACAGAAAGCAATTATTTCAATTTTTCAGCCTTTATATTCATCAGAAGAGTTACTTTCTCAACCAAATACTTAAAAAAGAAGCCCCCAGAAAACCTTTAAGATGTCGAGTGGAATTGTTTAGAAGTAAAGCATGCGTATACCATATTGATCACTTGTCACTTTTTATTTCCAAACGATAGTACAGATTCTTGTATGCTACAATGTGTTCAAGACTTATAATCGATCATAAGCACGGATCCCTTGTTTAGCTTAATCTTGGTTGCACAGAGCCGTGGGCCCTTGATGTTCATCTCAACAAACAGATGCATATACAATCACAACTGCTAAGGCAAAGGAATACTAACAACTGTTTCAACTGTCCAATAATAACTGTGTTGCAACTCAAATAAAGTTGGGACTCATCTCCTTGTACGTCAAAAATGAAAGTGATTCTAGCAACCACATTTGTCCTAAAGATTTTGAAATACTCAAAATCATTGCCACTTTTCATCAAATAAAGTCTGAAAAAGCACTGTTATGCATCTAAAATTTGTTCAATTTTGAAAAATACATGAAGGTTCAATTTAGTGTGTACTAACATAACAAGGAATGTAATCTAATATCATCACCTACAAAGAAAGTGAGAACCACCAGAGGTTGGTAGGTACAATCCCTCACTAGAAGTGTATCCAGACATATCGAACTTGATGATCCCTCCACCCCTTACATAATCACTGGGAGATGAACCAAAAATTGGACACAAACCACGTTCACTTAGCCATGAATATAGCAATTATTCCTACTCTCTCATAATCCATTCTAAGATTATCCGGCTGCATCACCAATAGCTTGTTACATCTCTACTCAACATTATTATCCGTAACATGTCACGCGATCTACAAAAGATTTAACATCTACATCCACCATATTTTAATCATACAGCATAGACAATGGTGTAATGATGATTTAAAAGTGAGGATAAAAAAAACATGGCCCACAATCGAGAATCCAATACCACCTCATACTCAAATCACTCATGCTTCACTAAAGGTCAATAAAGAGAGATTATAACCTCCGAAATCTCAGGCAATCACTAATTTGACAAAAAAGATGGAACAGCTTTACATTTACAAAAGAGTAATTTTAACTTTTGAGAAAGTAATATACAAGTTCTTGAACAACTCAAATGTTGTACCGTGCTCCATACAGAAATGTGCACAGTTTAAATGAATGGGTAACTATGACTCAAATTCAGGTATTTTGTCAGGTCATGATTAAAATTTAGGCAATTAGCTGTTTCGTTATGATGATAATATTTTGCGGGCTGCACGCTTTAGCCCCTGGTTGGTTCTGCTAAACATCACATTTTTAACAGATTTTGATAAAAAATTGATAAAGTACATGATTGAAAAGTTGATAAAAATTGTGGAACACCTTGTAAATGAATAGGTAACTATAACTCAAATTCAGGTATTTTGTCAAGTTATGATTAAAATTTAGGCAATTAGCTGTTTCGTTATGATGATAATATTTTGTGGGCTGCGCTTTAGGCCCTGGTTGGTTTTGCTAAACATAGCCTTTTTAATAAATTTTGATAAAAGTTGATGAAATAAATGATTAAAAGTTGAAAAAAGTTGTGGCAGCAATTAAATATTTGATTAAAATTAATTGTGACTTCCATTTAAATTTTTATCAACTGACAGCTGCCCACTGTTATCGTGCGCGCAAGATGCATACAGCGGACATTAGCCCTCAGTCCTCAAAAAGCGATCAGCTTGAGCTATGCATCGAAACACCTGCCAGTCGGATCAGCATCTTACAACGCGCTAGCATATGCCAGAAGCATTCAGCGCATTTTAGCACGCAATCACGTATCAAAACTCAGAATATCTAATGATTACGAACTAAAAAAAAAATTTAATAACTTTTCAATAAAATTCAGAAAATTTTTATGAAACTCTCAACCGAAATGTTAAAAATAATTGATTAGAAATTGCAAGATCGGAGGAATTGAATTTGAAAAGTACCTTTCTATAAGTTGTTCCATCTTCTTCAACGATCCAACCAGCTTCATTACATAGAGCTTTGAGAACCTCGTTGTTATCACAGTGTTTGGGGAGCTTGTAGTTACCGTACATCCTCAAGCCTGCAAAGATCTTGGCTGCGATTGCCCTCCGGCGCCGCTCCCTCCGCTTGTTGTTCTCCCTCTCCTTCCATGTCGGCAGTCTCGTCCCTGACGTCATCGAAACGACGCAGCTTCGTCCAAACTCTGCACTGGAAACCAAATCGAACCGGACAGGTATGAAAAACCGGATTGAGTGGACGGGGATCGGTCGGGATAGTAAGGGAGACTTGATATGAAAAGGGAAGAAGGGTGGTGACTAAATCCTAAAGCTAAATTTCTGGCAGGACGGTTTTGCCACTAAAAACAATATAAATTACGAGGCTGCCACTGAAAACGCGGGTCTTCTTTATTTTTTTAATTATTCTATGCTTTCATTTTCCTGAAAATGCGGGTCCGTGCACGTGTTTAGGCTTTTTAAAGAGCGGGGCGACACGAGGCGAGGAATCATAGTTTCTAGGAAAGAAGCGAGGAAATAATTTTCTGTTTAAGAAATAATTTATATATTTGTCTTAGAACTTATTTGGTAAGGATTTTGATAATTATTTTTTGACCGTTAAAAATAAAGTGGGTCTTTTTTATAAGAAAAAAATTTCGAAAATGACAGTTAAAATAATAAAATAACGTTCAAAAATTGATTTTAATTGACTTTTAATCCGTAACAAACAAGCACTTATTCACTCCTAAAGTATTGTGTTTGATCTTCAAGTGTCCCATGTCTGTTTTATGTGCAAACAGGTGCATCTGATTTCAACATTGTTTGTTGGTGAATTTGAGGATTTGGGATAATTGCAATCACGGTATCAAATTTTTCATTTAATATCAGACTTGACCAAAACATTTTGTTTGTGCCAGCCATGACACCAAACATTTTAAAAATCGTACCTAGAGTCCAAATGAATGGAATCCCTCTATTTAATCGTTACCATTAAAATTTTTTGACCTCTTTCGACCAATGTGGAAATGATAAAATGGTACTTTCAAATTATTTCACATAAAATAATGTTATAGTAATTAAATAAAAAAGAAGAGTGTTCTTTCCCCTAAAATCATTCCAGATATCCACCCAACACTAGCACCACATCATCTCCTTCGATCAATGTCGCCCAATCATCCATTCACACCTTTAATGCCATTGTCATCAACAGTTACGTATAATGCATCGTTCATCTCGATAGATGAAGCAAAATTTGGGTACAAAATCAAAATAGGAAGTTGGTGCGGTATCATTTTTTGAATAGCATGTTCAGTGAATATGGGACCTTTGAGTATAAACAACACCAAAGTCTACTTTCAAATCTATTTAAATTTTTTTTTTTTTTTTTTTTTTTTTTTTTTTTTTTTTTACCCCAAAGGGATCTAATTGCTTTTGTACCAAGATTTTGTTCCATTTACCCAGCATTTGAAATCAATTTGAGATTGAATCCAATGGAGAGTTTGGCTAGAGGGAAAGCAAATGATACGTGCGCAATAATGAGTCAAATACTCGAATTTTCAGTAGTACTAAGAATGATTTGTTCTACCAATTTGCAACACGTCAAGGAGATTTATTTACTGGATGTATCGAGAATGATTTATTCGAATTTGTGATTTCACTCGAGTGAGATTTCTCATAGAATTAATTGTAGCTTGGTGGTGGTGATTGTGGCGAGTGGTGCCGTGGTGGTGGTAGAAGCGACGACAAATAGTGGGTTGATTGTAGCTTTGTTTAGTTGGGGTCGGTGGAGTGTGGGGCAGGTTGGTGACGGAGGTGAACAGTTGTGTCCCTTTTATTTATTCATTCATTTTGAAATTGAATGTTAGAAATTGTTTTATATTAAAGTTATAAATTTACCATTTTGCCCTTTTTACATTTAGTCAACATTAATTATTTTGGTCAAATAACGGTCAAATCGATTCCATCCATTTGGACTCCAAGTGAGAATGTTTGAAAAGTTTGATGTCATGGGTGACACAAATAAAATGTTTGAGTCAAGTCTATTATTAAATGAAAGATTTGGTACCGTAGCTACAATTCTCCCTGAGGATTTCATATGACAAGAAAAAAGGAGTTAAAAATATATCATTTGTTTTAATTTATTGATTTTTAGCTTCATCTACTTTAAAACATTATACAATAGAATAACAATAATTTAATATTTGATAAATTAATAGCCTTGGTTAAATAATATTTTTGGCCGATTCCGATTTGAGGATAAAGGGCTAAGCTTATACTTTGCAAAATTTATAAGATAATATTTTCTAAGTTTTCTTTTCTTATTCTTCTTTGGCTCAATAATTAAGAGGCAATTTGAACAAGAAAGCAAGAAATAATAAAAACATTTTGTGCTTGTTTGGTGGGAATTTTGTTAATTGATTTTTTGACCGATAAGGATAAAGTGAGCTCTACTTGTGATAGAAGAATTCAAAAATAACCACTTAAATAGTAAAATAATGGTCAAAAAATTGATTTTAATTGAATTTTAAGATGTACCATACATGCTCTATAATGTATTGGAGATAGTTTGTATTCTATAGCAATGTCCATCTTCAGATGAAGAGCCAATTCGGGATGCATAAGCCTGCTAATAGTTGAGGTCCTAAAGTTGTTTATTATAATTTAATGGATTTGAGTTGGCTATGTTTGTGCGAAACCCGCAAACATATGAGATCGTTGACGGGTAATAGAGTTGATGAGTTGAGAGTATCATCTCATGAGGAGTAAAATTTAATTGAGTGTACTAATATTTGATTAGATTCAAAGTAAACAAACAAAAGTGATTTTATTTTGTGATTATTCTAAATTAATTTACTAAAATGTGTAAAATTCGAGTTTTGTTTATAGGATGAATGCATTGGATTATGAATTCACCTATTATTATCTATTCCAATTCTTGACTGTGTAGCTAGTTTCGTTCATGCATTATTGACAATTGATAATTCTATTATAATTAATTTTATTTTTCAAGATAAATTAAATCTATCTTAATAACGTCCGAATCTATTCCCAGTCCGAATTCGAATGAATATAATGTATTTAATTTTACAATTATCTCAGAGATTGTACACGCGATAAATCTTATTCCTAAAATTTACTGCACACATGTTAATCAAGTAGTGTTGTAAATATATTGTGAACCTCTCAACACTACAACAAGTAATTATATATTCAATTGGTGATTAAGCAGTCAAATAATAAAATTAGACATACAAGATTAATCAAGAATTGTCAGAATTCAACAACTATTTAATTTCTATAGACTTTCTTATTTTCTCCGTTACAAAAGCTATACATCTATAATTCTCAAAAAAATTTACACGTCATCGTGAATTCAATTTTTAAGAGTTCAATCAAACTTCAGTTAATATATCGAGATCATATTGCTATATCTTGATTTCAAGATGCTTATAATTTTGGCAGCTAAAAATTTTTGACTTAATGAGATTTCCTAAATGGTTACTTCTATATTTATTATGGTATCATCGATCACTATTTTGATATTGTTTGTGCGGCATTTTCAGGAAGGAAAAAAAATGAGAAATTCGACCATTAAAGCACAAGTCAAGCCACAACTTTTGACTGATTGTCTCTAACGTGGATCCCACCTACAGCTTCAACGGTCAAAAAAATTCTATTAATTTCCTTCAAAATGTGGCACAAACAAGGGCATAATTTCATCTTCTTCTTAAAATATTTGTTGATACGTGCTATGTAAAAATGTCAAATATCACATGCAAAACGAAGTAAAATATCTTTTTTTAATAAATATGACGTCGATGCTTGAAATATTCGTAGAATTTTGTTATTGGGAAACATATATGCATATTGACATTTCAATCCAACCTGTATTATTGTTCAATTGCAATCTAAAAACCGCGTCGACAAATCCAAGCCACACGATTTGCTTGCACCCAAGCATGGAAAACTAAATATTCAAGATAACTACCAAAGCACTGTAATAAATTAAGATTAAATTGAATATAAAATGGTTGCTAACGACATGTCCAACGCGTGCATATCAACATCCCACGACGCCGTTCGTCAACGCATGTGCATCGCTTTTTTCTTTTTTTAAATCTTGGATATAACCATATGAGTTCTCTAATTTTATTAAAACTCAATTCGACCAATTTATTCTCATTTCATAGAATAACGTTGTTTGAGTTTGTACATGAATAAGAAAAAGTTTTTTCGAATGAATTTTTTGATCGGTAGTGGTAGGAAACGGGCCAGGGAGGTTGTTACTGGAAGGACCCCGACACCTGGGGCAAATGAATGAATTAATCTGAATGATCCATTTATTATTATCCACACACACATTTTGTGGAATTCACTACCATTTATCTTAATAATCCATTTATAAATTCGTCAAATTGAGTCTCGTTGATTTCAAAGTTTATGGTCTTTATACTGTCAACAAAATTTTGGATACGAAATCAAGGCATATCTCAAGTGATAAGATCAAAAGCTTACCGTGTCAATGAATAAACTGAAAATAATAAAAGTCTTTGGATGCATTTTTTTGGTACTTGCATTACTTCGTTGCATCACAGAACTTTGTTCCATCAACCACCCAATAAGAGTGAGAATTCAGGGTGAAGAAACATATCATAAGTTGTCTTCACTAAATCATTCATTTTTCGCAAGGGATTGATTGGAAGATCGAATAAAGGTACAACAAATGGATTCACATTTCCTATTTAGACAAGCTTTCAAGATCTCTACCTTATAAACGGGCACTAGCATTAAACTTAATATGAAAAAACAAAGACGAGCTAATTTAATTAATGTTCTAATTAAAAGAATAACATTTTGGTTCTCAAGTAAAAGAAAAGCAACAAATTCTAATTATTTGATATAAAATAGAATGCACAAATGCCTACTTATAGCCTAATAATAGAGCTCTTTACCTATAAATCTCTTGTTCAAATTTTGAATTTATATAAAATAATTTATGGCTTGTTCAATAGTGATTATGAGAAATGATTTTTTGACTGTTAGAGAAAAAAAGGGTCTCACATTTGAGAAAAGAAGTAAAAAATGACAGTTGACAGAATTGATTTTTTGATCGTTAGAGAGAAAAGGGGTATCATATTTGAGAAAAGAAATAGAAAATGACAACTGACTTAGAAAAACAACGATCAAAAATTTATTTTTTGAAGTCAAAAATTTATTTTTTGAAGTCAAAAATTATAACGAAACACGCACTTATTCCATATAAAAATGCTTCTTATCACATTCCTCAATTGGAATTTTCAAACAATTGTTCT